GCACTTTCACTTCCGCACTAGACAGCGACCTCCACAATGACAGGGACCTCGTCTGCCTTGTTCTGGACCAGTATCTCCCTGGCCCTAGAATAAGTGCCTAAGAAGATAACCACTGTGGCAAGTGCTGGGGAGAAAATGAACAGGATACTGGTGTTTTGAGTGGAGCGTCTATTTGGAGGGTCTTGGGGCCCTGCACACCTTCACAGGCAGTCCATGCCCATCTCTTGGGCCTGCAGATCATGTTTTATATGAACATCTGCAGCATCTGAGCAGCCCTCTTCCTAGCCCAAGTCCCCAGCATGCTATCTTTGGAAAGATAATGAGTATCTATAACAGCTCCTGTTTTTTAACACTTACTTTGTGCCAGGCATTGCACTAAGCAATTTATGGTCATTACATCATTTCATCCACAGAACAATAATACTGTTATGAAGTAAGTGCTTTTTATCCCCATTTTACAGACAAGGACATGGAAACCCAAAATGCCTGAGCCGTTTGGCCAAGTCACACAGTAAGTAACTGGGGGCTCGAACCGAGGTCTGTCTGAGTCCTGAGCAGAGGCGCTTAACCCTGCCTCATCCAGCCTCATCCCGCCTCATCCCGCCTCATCCTGCCTCATCCCGCCTCATCCCGCCTCTCAGGAGAAGCATGAGAGGTCTGTGTGGGCCCCTCAGGATTGATGTTAGGGAGCCTGGGTCCCTGTGGAGATGGGCTACCTGGTCCAGTAGGAAGACTGAGAAAGAGATGCACAGACATGCGGAAACCGATGGAGAAACTGCCAGAGCCAGAGACTGTGTGAGAGACGATGCTGCAATCTGTGTTCTCGGGCCGGGTATGCCTACACTTAGCTCTTAGCTTCTAGTCCTCCCCAGCTGCCTCGCTCCTGCTGTGTTACAGAAGCTTCCATGCATGGACGCGCACCCTCCTGTGTGTGTGCGTAGACATCGCTCGTGCAGTGGTTCTCACAGAGGGGTACCGGACCAGGCAGCCTGGGTCCCTGTGGAGATGGGCTAGTTACTAAAGTATCACAAGAAGGGGCTCTCCTCCCCTGCCAGAGTCCAGCATACAGCCCAGAGCTGGCCTGCTGCAGGATCCCCTCCCTCAGGGGCACTAGGACAGACCCTTCGGCCTCCTCAGCCCTGGGTCTCTGTAGAACCCAGAGACCATGAACCCTATGTCCCTGGCTGCCCTCAAGTCCCTGCAGCCCCGGCAGGGTCCCTCCGAGTATTCCCACTTGACTCTCCCACCTGCGGCCACACCACACTCCCAGGGCCGGTGGGGGGCCAGGCCACACTCCCAGGGCTGGTGGGGGGCCAGGCCACACTCCCCAGGGCTGGTGGGGGGCCAGGCCATACTCCCCAGGGTTGGTGGGGGGCCAGGCCATACTCCCCAGGGCTGGTGGG